GTAAGTAAGAGGGAATGCACCTAGCTTTGCCTACTTGGTGGCAAGGTAGAATTCTGGATGTTCTTGTACTCCAAGGCAAAAAGTTCTGGGTGTGGGACAAGCATGTCAAACTCAAGGGCCAACATGGGCCAAATAAACCAGGCATGCAGCCTGCAGGCTGAGAGTTTGATTTGCTTAGTGTACGGGGTTCTTTACCTTTGGTGGAGCTGTTACTAAAAGTTTATTTCAATACAGAGGAAAAATAAGGGCATACATTTTTTCTATGAGGCTACTTAGTATTCTCTTGATATTGTTGTAGTTTCCATTTATTCATTCATTCAACAAATATATATTAACTACCTTATATTTGCCAAGTGCTGCTGTTAACTGATTATGCAACAGTGAACAAGATAATCTCCCTACTCTTAAGAGGTTACATTTTAGTAGGAGAAGACTTTCAGTAAATGATGAATAAGTAAAATTTCACAGAGTAAGAAAAATAATGAAGAAAATAAGTGAGTGATGAGGTAGAATAGTAAGAGGAGAGAACTTTAGATGCAGGAAAAGAATGGCCAGGAAATACCTCTCTAGCAAATCATCTTTTGAGCTGAGATCTAAAGACAAAAAGAACCAGTCAAGGCAAGGGGCAAGATTTTAAAGCAGAAGTAAACTATTTTGAAGAAAAAAAGAAGCTGGTGTGCCTCGAGTATATTTAACTAGAGGAACAGGGAGTATATGGTGATGTGAGAAAGACAGACTGGGATAGACCATATAAGAAGGAGCATAGCAGAGTTTGTACATCATTTTAAATATATGAGAAGTCATTGACTGGGGCAGTAACACAATTGAGGGCATGTCTTAAAAATATCATTCTGGGCTGCTAAGTGGAAAAAGGGATAATAAGACCACAAGAGTCAGAGCAGAGAGATGGATGGGCTGTAGTTTTAGGTAAGAGATGATGGTATTAATAGAAATGGTGAGAAAAAAATCTTTGCTAGAGCCAAAATCTAGTTGTTATCCCCATCTTTTTTCACCATCTACCCACCTCCCTCCCCTTTGGCAATTATCAGCTTGTTCTCTGTATCTATGGATCTGTTTCTGTTTGGTTTGGTTTATTCATTTGTTTTTTGTTTTTTTAGCTCGCACAAATAAGTGAAATCATATGGTATTTATCTTTCTCTGTCTGACATATATTACTTGGCAAAATTACCCTCTAAATCCATTCCTATTGTTGAAAATGGCAAGATTTCATTCTTTTTTTATTGCTGATAAATATTTCATTATATATCTGTACCACATATGCTTTATCCATTCATTGATCAATAGACACCTTGCTTGCTTCCATATTTTCTTGGCTATTGTAAATAATGCTGCAATGAACAGAAGGGTGCATATATCTTTTAGAAGTAATGTTTTTGTTTTCTTCAGATAAATACCCAACAGTGGTATTGCTGTGTCATATGGGAGCTCTATTTTTACTTTTTTGAGTAATTTTCATACTGTTTTCCATAGTAGATGCATTAATTTATAATCACACTAACAGTGCACAAATCTTTTCTTTTTTCCACATCCTTGCCAACACTTGTTGTTTGTTGATTTTTTGATAATAGCCATTCTGACAACAGTTGGGTGATATCTCATTGTGGTTTTGATTTACATTTCCCTGATGATATGTCTGTTGGTGTGTTGGCTGTCTGTACATGCTCTTTGGAGAAATGTCTATTCACATCATCTGCTCACTTTTTAAGTTGTAGTGCTTATTATTTTTATGTTAAGTTGTGTGAGTTCCTTATATATTTTGAATATTAACCCCTTATCATTTGTGAATATCTTCTCCCATTTAGTAAGTTATCATTTTGTTGATGGCTTCCTTCACTGTGCAAAAACGTTTTAGTTTTTATGTAGTCTAATTTGTTTATTTTTGCTTCTTTTCCCCTTTCCCACGGAGACAGATCCAAGAAAATTTTACTAAGATTGATGTCAAACAGCTCTTTATTTGTTAAATGTGTTGCATATATGCTTCCACTCTGTGGATTTCTCTTCCCTGCTTTAACAAGGATTCCTACTTTTAATGCAGTTCTATTTTTCTCTTTATGAGTTTTATTTAAAAGGTATTTTTCTACCCAAGTTCTTGAAGATATTCTCCTATGTTACCTTCTTTTACTTTTACATGTAAGATCCACCTGAGAACTAATTTCTTTTTCTTATGGAAATCCAATGAACTCAGCACCATCACCTTTGTCATAAATCAAATGTCCAGAGTGATATATGTCTGATTTTGGACTACATTACCTTTCGCTGATCCATTTGTTCAGCTTTCCACTGATGCCATGCTGTCTTCCTTTATAATACACTTTGACATCTAGTACTAGTATGTCCACAAAGTCTGTCTTCATCAAAGTTGTCTTGGTTCATCTTGGCTCTCATATAAATTTTAGAAATTACTTTATCAATATTTACTTTTAAGACTTCAGAGGGCCCAGCCGGCGTGTCTCAGTGGTTGAGCATCGACCTATGAACCAGGAGGTCACGGTTCAATTCTCTGTCAGGGTGTATGCCCAGGTTGCAGCTCAATCCCCAGTATGGAACATGCAGAAGGCAGCCAATCAATGATTCTCTCTCATCACTGATGTTTCTATCTCTCTCTACTTCTTTGAAATCAATAAAAAAATATTTTTTAAAAATTATTTTTTAAAAAAGAAAATGTGACTTCTCCAGAGATGTCACATAAAAAAAACACCTTCAGATGTTCTGAATGGGATTTTATTACATCTATATGTGAATTTACAGTGACATCTTAACAACACTGAGATTATGAACAAAGCATAATTTTCCACTTATTTAAATACTTTACAATTTGTTGAAAATTGCTTTATGAACCAGCATACAGTAAATTTTAAAATGTTTCATGGTTATTTCAAAAGGATGTGTATTCTAGATTTGTTAGGCGGAGTGTTCAATATGTTAATGTTTTTAATTAATAATTTTGTGGAAATCTATATCATTACAATTTTTGTTCTTTTGTTTTATCAGTTGCTGAGAGAGGTGTGTTTACCTACTTTGATTATAGATTTGTCTAGTTCTTTTTATAATTCCATCAGTTTTTGTTTTATGTCTTTTGAGACTATGTTATTAGGTACATATCAACTTAGATTTTTTATATCTTCCTAATAAATTGACCTTTGATTGGTATGAAATATTCCCCTAGTAATGCTTTTTGCCTTAAAGTCTACTCTACAAATATTAACATAGTAACAACAGATTTTAATGTTTAATACTATCCTTTTCTATCCTCTTACTTTCAACTATTGTCATATTTAATGTGTGTCTCTTATAGGCAGCATACTGTTTTTTTAAATGCTAGACTGACAAACTTTGTTTTTAAATGAGTATTTAGTCCATTTATATTCATTGTTATTACTGTACTATTGGATTTAAATTTAGCATATAATTAGTTGGTTTCTATTATCTCACTTGTTTTACTTTCCTTTTCTCTTCTTGACTTTTTTGGATGAATTAAGTATTTGTTAGTTAATTTTCCACATACTAGATTATTAATTACATATTTCCTTACTCTTATTTTTATGCTTGCCCTAGAAAAAACAGTATCTGTCCTCGAGTTACTGAGTATATTAAAAAATACTTTAACCAAACTCAAACATTCAAGTATCCTACAATACTTGGACTCCATTTACCCGCTCTAGCCTTATCTGATACTAGAGGCCCGGTGCATGAAATTCATGCACTGGGGTGGAAGGTCCATCAGCCCGGCCTGTGCCCTCTCACAATCTGGGACCCCTCGGGGGATGTCTGACTTAGGCTGGGAATCAGGCCTAAGCTGACAGTCAGACATCCCTCTCGCAGTTGGGGGTCCCTCTCACAGTCTGGGACTCCTTGTTCCTTACCACCCACTTACTTGCTACTCCTTACTGCTCAGCTCGCTGTTCCTTAGCACTGTTACAGAGGCAGGAGAGGCTCCTGCCACCACCTCTGCGCTTGCCGGCTGTGAGCCCAGCTTCTGGCTGAGCGGCGCTCCCCCTGTGGGAGTGCACTGACCACCAGGGGGCAGCTCCTGAGTGTCTGCCCCCTGGTGGTCAGTGCTCATCATAGTGACCATTCATTCCACCATTCAGTTGATTTGCATATTAGGGTTTTATTATATAGGACTGTTATGTATCTGAGTTCTATCAATCCTAAATCCTGAAAGATATGATGCTGCTGCTGATGATTTTATGCAATCATTATCCATTTTTATTTCCCCACACATTTGCTCTTTTACTTTTTCTTCATTCTTTCTGCCTTGCTGAGCTTTCAACTAGGATCATCCTATATAATAAAAGGGAAATGTGAAAATTGACCCTAACAGCGGAACGACCGTGAACAACCAGTCGGTATAACACACACTGACCATCAGGAGGCAGACGCTCAACGCAGGAGCTGCCCCCTGGTGGTCAGTGCGCTCCCTCAAGGGGAGCTCCGCTCAGCCACAAGCTGGGCTAATGGCTTCAAGTGCAACAGCAGTGGCAGGAGCCTCTCCTGCCTCCGTGGCAGCACTAAGGATGCCCATGTTAGATACATTGCACAACTCCCTTTATCTCAAAGTCTTCAACTAATCAATAAGGTTAGTTCCTTCCTGGTTTTCCATTTTAAACCCAAATATTTCCTTTACCACAAAATTTCTAATTGGTCTAAAATATTTCCAAAACTCTATATGCCATGCTATTTCTTAAGTGGCAAAGTAAAAGCCAGTCAACAAAAATTTTTTTATAGTATGGAAAAGCCATTAAAGTCATACCATGCAATTGTAACCATCATGAATTGTTAGGGAAAAGAAAAAGAATGTTCAATTAGAGTCTCAGTCACTTGGCTTTCAGGAAATTATCTCTCTAATCAATTAGCAAATTTGCTTCTAGAGAATTGATTTTTCAGCAAATTGGTATGAGTAAATTCTGCTGCTTTTGATCAGTGGCTTCCTACTATCCTACTATGGGCAAGAAGGATGGTCTTATCCAGCCCCATGACAGGGCTGGATCCAGTTCCGCACACCACCATGGGTCTACCCATGACCAGTCAGGACACAGTTCTGGACACTCTGGTACCCATCGAGGGCAGCAAGCCCAGCATGGGCACTCTGAGCACACCCAGGGACACTCAGACTCTGATGCCAGAAGAAGACAGGGATCTAGTCATGGACGGTCTGCAGACACCATATAACAGTGAGGTCTATGAGACTATCTAAATCCTGCTATAAGTAGGTTCATGAACAAGAAATAGACAGGTTTCATAATTCATTCAAACTCTCTCTTGATTTTCACTATGCACATAGTAAAGCTAAGTTTTCATAGTTAACTTCCATTTTAAAAGATGAACTTTAGGAGATAATGTAGGTTTAAAATGTGAAAAGTCACAATAATAATTGATATGACCTAAAAAAAATAGTACAAGAAAAGTAAACTTTTATTTCTTCTTTCTAGGTTCACCTATATCATGGGTCTACCCATGACCAGTCAGGACACGGTTCTGGACACTCTGGTACCCATCGAGGGCAGCAAGCCCAGCATGGGCACTCTGAGCACTCCCAGGGACACTCAGGCTCTCATGCCAGCGGAAGACAGGGATCTAGTCGTGGACGGTCTGCAGACACCTCTAGACAATCAGGCTCACATCATGCAGAGACATCCTCTCGAGGACACCAC